TGCCAAAATGTTGGCCATATTTCTCACCATCTGCGTTAATACCGTGCAGTGTAGAACCTTTCAGAGGCCCTCTGTGGCAGGCTCCTGACTTGTTCCCTGTTTTCTCCTTTTTCTGATGTCCATCCTCTTTGCCTTTCTGAATGGGGATAGAGCATTTTAGCCAGAGTCCTCCTTCTTGATTAGTTTCTTTAAGTGTACAGATTTTAGTAGGTTTATCCTATATTATATGTCTAATATCCAATTATGAGTGAGTATATACCCTGTGTGTCTTTCTGCTTCTGGGACAGCTCATCAGGATGATCCTTTTCAGCTCCTATCATTTACCTGCAAATTTCATGATTTCCTTGTCTTTAATTGCTGAATAATATTCTGTTATGTAGATATACCACAATTTCTGTTTCCATTCCTCAGTTGAGGGGCATCTGGGTTGTTTCCAGCTTCTGGCTATTACAAATAAAGCTGCTACAAACATGGTTGAGCAAATGTCCTTATTGTCTACTTGAGCCTCTTTTGGATATATGTCTAGGAGTGGTATAGCTGGATCTTGAGGAAGCACTATTACTAATTGTCTGAGAAAGCGCCAGATTGATTTCCAAAGGGGTTGTACAAGTTTACACTCCTACCAACAAAGGAGGTGGGTTCCCCTTTCTCCACAACATCTCCAGCATGTGTTGTCACTTGAGATTTTGATCTTGGCCATTCTGATGGTTGTAAGGTGAAATCTCAGGGTCGTTTTGATTTACGTTTACCTGATGACTAAGGACACTGAGCATTTCTTTAACTGTTTCTCTGCCCTCTCTCTCCATATCTCTTCAACATAGTTCTTGAAGTCCTAGTTAGAGCAATAAGACAATTAAAGGAGACCAAGGAAATACAAATTGGAAAGGAAGATGTCAAAGTATCACTATTTGCAGATGACATGATAGTATACCTGAGTGACCCCAAAAATTCTACCAGAGAGCTCCTATAGCTGATAAACACCTTCAACAAAGTGGCAGGATACAAAATTTACTCAAAAAAAAATCAGTACCCCTCCTGTATACAAAAGAAAAAACAAAAACGGCTGAGAAAGAAATTAGAGAAACAACACCCTTTACAAAGGGCATAGCCACAAAGCCACAAATGACATAAAGTACCTTGGTGTGACCCTAATGAAGAAAGTTAAAGACTTGTATGAAAAAAAATTCCAGTCTCTGAGGAAAGAAATAGACGATATCAGAAGATGGAAAGCTCTCCCATGCCCATGGCTTGGCAGGATTAACATAGTAAAAAATGGCCATCGTACCAAAAGCAATCTACAGATTCAATGCAATTCCCATTAAAATACCAACACAATTCCTTACAGACCTCGAAAGAAAAATTCTCAACTTCATATGGAATAACAAGAAACCCAGAATTGCTAAAACAGTCTTCTACAATAAAAGATCTTCTGGAGGTATCTCCATCCCTGATCTCAAGCTAAAAACTGCTTGGTGCTGGCATAGAAACAGAATGGTGGATCAATGGATCTGAACAAAAGACCCAGAAATAAACCCACACACTTATGGACACCTGATTTTTGACAAAGATGCCAAAACCATACAATGGAAAAAAGATAACATCTTCAAAAAATGATACTGGTCTAACTGGATGTCTACATGTAGAAAAATGCAAATAGATCCATACTTATCACCTTGCACAAAACTAAAGTCCAAGTGTATCAAAGACCTCAATATAAAACCAGACATGCTAACCCTGTTAGAAGAAAAATGAGGAAGAGCCTGGAACTCATTGGCACAGGAGACAACTTCCTGAACAGAACATCAACAGCAAAGGCTTTAAGAGTAACAATCAATAAATGGGACCTCATGAAACTGAAAAGCTCCTGTAAAGCAAAAAACACTGTCATCAGAACAAAACGACTACCTACAGACTGGGAAAGGATCTTCACCAACCCTATATCTGACAGAGTGATAATATCTAGTTTATATCAAATAATCAAGTAATCCAATTTAAAAATGGGGTACAGACCTAAAGAGAGAATTCTTGATCGAAGAATATCAAATGGCAGAGAAACACTTAAAGAAATGCTCAATTTCACATATACTCTTAAAAAGCTTTCTCCCCTACCAGTGGACTGGGGAAGAGGCATGGGACGGCAGGATTGGGAGGGGACGAGGGAGAGGACTACAGCTGGGATACAAAATGAATAAATAGTAATAAATTTAAAAAAATTTAAAAAAGCTTTCTGTGCCCTTGTCTTTCCAAAGTCAAGTAACCTATATGGAGCAAAGAATTCTAATTCTAATTCTAATTCAATCATCCATTGATGAATGTGGGCTATTTCAATTAAAGGCATTAAGTATGGTGAATTGAACATAACACATAACCACTGCTTAGAGAAACCCTATATAAACAATTAATACAAAAGTCCTCTCCAGGGAACCCTCCTCCATTGCTGGTGGGAATGTAAACTGGTACAACCACTTTGGAAGTCAATCTGGTGCTTTCTCAGACAACTAGGAATAGTGCTTCCTCATGACCCAGCTATACCACTGCTAGGCATATACCCAAAATTTGCTCAAGTACACAATAAGGACATTTGCTCAACCATGTTTGTAGCAGCTTTATTTGTAATAGCCAGAACCTGGAAACAACCCAGATGTCCATCAATGGAGGAATGGGTACAGAAATTGTGGTATTTTTACACAATGGAATACTACTCAGCAATCAAAAAAGAGGAAATCATGAAATTTGCAGGCAAATGGTGGGATCTAGAAAAGATCATTCTGAGTGAAGTATCCCAGAAGGAGAAAGACAAACATGGAATATACTCATTTATATAGACCTAAAAGATATGATAAACATAATGAAATCTATACACCTAAAGAAGATAATCAAGAAAGCAGACATGGGGTATGATGATCAATCCTCATTTAGAAAGACAAATGGGATATGCATTGAACGTATGACAGGAGTCTACCGCAGAAAGCATCTGAAAGACTCTACCTAGCAATGTTCCAAAGTAGATACTAAGACTCATAACCAAACCCTCGGCAGAGTGCAGGGAATCATATGAAAGAAGGGGAGTTTGATGTGGAAAGGATAGGAGCTCCACAAGGACCAAACATATCTGGGCACAGGGTCTTTTCTGAGATGGACACTCAACCAAAGACCATGAGAGGATAAAACCTAGAACCTCTACTCGGATGTGACCCGTGATAGCTCAGTAATCAATTGGTTTCCCATAGTAAGGGGAACAAGGACTATTTCTAACAGGAACTCAATAACTGGCTCTTTGACCTCCCAAGGGAGGAGCAGTCCTGTTAGGCCACAGAGGAGGACTTTGCAGCCAGTCCTGAAAATACCTGACAAAACAGAGTCATATGAAAGGGGAGGAGGTCTTCCCCTATCAGTGGACTTGGAAAGGGGCAGGGAGGAGACAAGGGAGGGAGGGTGGGATTAGGGAGGGAATGAGGGATACAGCTGGGATAGAGAATTAACAAAATGTAACTAATGAGAAAAATAAAATTAAAAAAAATAAAAAACAATTCTAGGGACATTTTGTAAGATACTGAATAATTTTTATGAACATATTATTGAATTATATGATTTACTTAACATTAATTTTTTTGAAATTTAAACAATGTCTAATAAGCCTGGCTAAGCTGTTGACATTGTGACAAAACACTGTCATTTACTGTATTCAAGATTAAGAACTATACAATCAAGTCACAAAAATAAATTCATAAAGCAATCAAAAAAATGTCCTCTCCAATCTGACTTGGAGAAGACATAATTAACCTCCAACATATGTAAAGTATTTTTAATATTATAATAATTATTATAATATTTAAATAATTAATTAGAACACAGTCCTAATGGAGATTAAATTTCAGGATATTATACAATATTAAATACACAATGTTAAATAAATTATCAATTATTATGACACTTTATTTGTTTGATTAAAAAGATACAAAGTAAAGTTTACTGCTATTCCTTGTGAAGTTTATCACTTTGTTCATTTATTTAAATGTTTCTGTCCACCAAATTAGTGCTTTGGAGGTAGCTGGGATAAGGCAAATTGATGATGGCCAATTGGTAAAGGAAGTGAATGACTTGGAGCATGTATTGATGCACAGAATAATATGCAGGTAAATTTTACAAAGATTTTATTCACAAAAATAAAGATATGTGTTTGGTCAATAAGTGACAAGTTAAATTTTATTAGAAACAAATAGTTCAATGACTTTAAAATTGTATTATTAAGATCATTCATATTTAGATTTTAAGACAAAGGATTCACAATCTGTTGCTGGATGACCAATAAACGTTGTAACCTGCTCAAATTTTATAGCCCTTCTGTTGAGACCCATTTTATTTCTTAGCATAACACCTGTTAGCACCTGATATAGCTTTTAGCTTATCAGAAGTCATTTTGTCTCCAAGTCTCCATTTTTAATATGTCTCTATGGTTTCATTTCTCAAACTTGTATACCTTGTTACCTGGATGCTGTATGAAGTCCCCCAACTTCAGAACCAACCAAATTAAAGATCATCTAGAAATTCTTTGTCTAGCTACTCAAAATGATATAACATTGCTTTCTAATCTGGATACCTGATTGCATTTTTGTTACCTGGTTGTTACCTAGTTGTGGTTCATTTCCTACACTTGGTTATATTTTTGTTATCTGGTTGCTAGTTGGTTGCAGTTTTTCTTAAAAAAATCTGCTTTAGGAGTAGGCTAATGTCATAGTCTGGCTCCAGAGTCCAGATTATGGTCTTGGCCAGTTCTCTGTTTAGTGTAAAATAAAGCCATGTTGATTTGAGTCTGGTATCTGAATGGTCAGTGAGCAGCTATTACTGAACCCACAACAATGTCATGTCCTTTAGAAATATATTATTTCCATATGGTGATATTGGTTAAACACATACTGTAGTTCCTAATTTTAAAATCTGTTTCATAGAGTCAGTCTCATTGTTTAAATAATGAGTTGATGTTTCTGCATATTAAAAATTTACTTCAGGACCAAAAAGTTGTTAATGAACCTTTTCATAGCATTTTTCATCTCTTTATTTCTCAGTGTATAAATAGCTGGATTTAGGAGAGGTGTGAAAACAGAGTAAAATACAGCAAAAAATTTGTCCAACCAGGTGATATTGAGGGGCCACACATAGATGAAGATGCAGGGCACAAAAAATATCATCACCACTGTGATGTGGGCAGTGCACGTGGACAGGGCCTTCGATGCCCCAGCTTTAGAGCTCTGTCGTACAGTGATTAGGATATATGTGTAAGACATGAGCAACAGAATAAAGCAGGTTACAGCCACAACCCCACAGTCAGCATTCATTAGTTTATTTAAATCATGTGAATCGATGCAGGCTAGCTTGATTACCAATGGCATGTCACAGAAAAAACTGTCTATATCCCTAGGGCCACAAAAAGGGAGCTGCACAATCACTGCTATGTAACTTATACCATGTATAAAGCCAATTGTCCAGGAAGTCAGCACCAACCCAGTACATCTTTTCCGGTTCATGATGGTAAAGTAATGGAGTGGCTTGCAGATGGCCACATAGCGGTCATAAGCCATAACCACCAACAGCACCATTTCTCCTGCAGCGATGCAATGGGAAAAGAAGACTTGGGACATGCAGCCTGCAAAGGAAATGGTTTTGTTTTCCCTGAGAAAGTCTGTGATCATCTTAGGAGTAGTGTTTGAGGAAAGCCACATATCGATAAAGGACAGATTGGCCAATAGGAAGTACATGGGGGAATGCAGGTGGGCATCAGTGGTGATTAAAACCAGGATGACTATATTTCCAGAAACAATGAAGACATAAAGCATTAAAAATATCACAAAGAGTAAGGTCTCAATATTCTGTGAGTGGGCAAGTCCCCAGAGTATAAATTCTGACACTACAGACTGATTGCCTCCATCCATTTTTTCAGTATGTCCTTAAAAATAACCTGCAAAGAAAGATTATCAACCAGTCTATTTTCTTCATGGAACTTGACATTCACCTTAAAATTTACCTGAATAAAATAAATAGAAATATAAGCCAAATGTGAGAAATCTAAGCCTATACATTGCTGCCCAAAATAGAGGGGGATTTTTACCCAGCAACATGGCTGCTCTGGCAACGACCTTTTAGGTGTATGCGATCTGGCTAAAATACAGCCAAGCTCTGTATTACAGTATGCTCTGGCTAGAATACAGACACACAATTGGTATACATCCTGAATCCCAAACAATGCAGGTAAAGTTACTTTATACAAGTAAATAGACATGTTTGAAAGTGACATTTAATTGAGGTGTAAACGAAGTAACAAATCAGAGAAAGATTTGACTGAATGAGTCAGAGTTAGGATACACACAACTCCCAGAAGATCAGGACAGGAAAGAGAGGTGCTTAAGAGCACTGTAGCAAGAGAGGATTTTTACAGTTTCTTACCAGGACAGTTTTACAGAGCCAGGTTGCAGAGAGAACAAGCTAGACACAAGTGAAGACAGAATGAGCCAGGGAATAAGGGACCATATGATTAAAACATACTGCTAGAATTAGAGGACAGGCAGAGCAATTCAGTCAGAACGAAGAGAAGCCAGTTTGAATCAATCAGCTTGGAGAGGAGTTTAGGTCAGAACAACTAAGTGTACCAGCCTTCAATGTTTCAGAAAAAGCTAAAAACAAAACAACAGAAAAAACAAAACAAAACAACAACAAAAAAAACCACCTTGGTTCTTATCTCTTCCCTTCATCTGAGAAAATAAAAGCAATATTTATATCAAAGTGAAAGTTAGAATAACTGTGGCTCCTCTGTTAACATCTGCTGTAGCCTTTAACATATTAGAAGCCATTTTGCCTCCATGTCTCCTTTTTGATCATAAGGTGAAATTCAGTTCAATTTCTCAGGCCCACATGCCTGAGACCAGGATACAATTTAATAGTTCAATATTTACTGCTTAAAATAAAACAATACCTGATAAACTCATATTCTGTTTGAGTTAAGGATAAAAACATCCCGTTATGTTTCTTATTTCCAGAAAACTCCCTTATCCTAAATTCCAGCCACTCAGCTGGAAGTGCTTCATTTAGCTTCCTAGATACAACATAATACACTTGGAACAAAATAGATTATGTTTATCTGATCCAAATGATGTAATTCTATCCCAACCACCCCCACCTTCCCACACACACTTTCTATACCTAGTTACCTGGTAACAGTTAAAAAAAAAAAAAACTGCCTTAGAAACAGAATGGCATCATACCCTAGATCCTGAGTCCAGATTATGGCCCTGAGCAATCAGTGTTTGTTCAGTGTTAAATAAACTTCCATCAATCTCAGTCTGGTGTCTGAGTGGTCAGTGTGCAGCTATTCTTGAACAAGCCGCCAAGAGCAACTTACCCAGAAAAGAACGATCAGGAGTGACTGGTATACACCTGCTCTCTCAGGAAATTGTTCCTACAGGAAAGCAATGAAGAAAGTAAAACAGCAACATGAAAGCATAAAAATGTTTGTAGTTTCTTTTTTTTTTTTTGGACAAAAAAATATATTTAATCACTAGCCTCCATCTACATGTTCTAATTTACAATAGCTTTAGAAGCCAAACTGCTTCTTTTTTTTAATTTTTTATTAATTACACTTTATTCATTTTATATCCCCCCATAAGCCCCTCCCTCCTCTCCTCCCCATCTCACCCTCCCTCTCCTTTCTGTATGCATGCCCCTCCCCAAGTCCACTGATAGGGAAGGTTCTCCTCTCCTTTCTGGTCTTAGTCTATCAGTTCTCATCAAAAGTGGCTGCATTGTCCTCTACTGTGGCCTGGTAAGGCTGCTCCCCCGTCAGGGGGAGGTGATCAAAGAGCAGGCCAATCAGATTATGTCAGAGGCAGTCCCTCTTCCCATTACTATGTAAGCCACTTGGACACTAAACTGCCATGGGCTACATCTGTGCAGGGGTTCTAGGTTATCTCCATGAATAGTCCTTGGTTGGAGTGTGAGTCTCTGGGAAGTTCCCTGTGTTCAAATTTTCTTGTTCTGTTACTCTCCTTGTGGAGACCCTGTCCTCTCCAGGTCTTACTATTTCCCACTTAATGGCCAGAATTTGTCACTTGCACTGATAGAATATTACCGTTTGGGGTATCATGTATAATTATTTCATTGAGTATTAGTAGAATTATTTCTGCGACATCAAAAAATTAAAATTTTAGCTTGAAGTTATAAATTAGATGCTGGCAAACTTAGAGGGTAAGTATACAGGATGTCATGTAAGATATACACAGATATCATGTTCAAATGTACAAAACAGATTTGTGTTTATTCATTAATAAATGTGTATCCTGGGTGTGGTGGTGCATGCCTTTAATCTAAGCACTCAGGAAAGCAGAGGCAAAAGGATCACTATGAAGTCAAGGGTATCCTGGTCTACAAATTGAGTCCAGGGCAACCAGGTTACACAGAAAAACCCTGTCTACAAAACAAACAAACAAATAAACATATGTCATCAAATCTATTTATTCAACTAAACTGATTAACAAATATTATCTCAAATACCTATAGGAATATATTGACCAAAGCACAAGGCAAATCATATTCAGACCTGAGCTCTGAAAGTGACAGTTCAATTTTAGAATTAGAAAATATTGATCTCCAATTGTATAAACTAAACTTTAGAGCCCTTAGAATTTGAAATATTGTTGTTTTGACATAAATAATATATCTACATCCTATCACCATCTATCATCATCTTATCAGTATATTTTTTCATTATTTCACTTGTTTACTGATTATTTATGTGGTTGTAAAGAAAAGAATTTGTCACCTAAACATGTAAGCATAGCTGTCTTTCACTGCCAGCCTTGGATGAATTAAAGTTATCCTCTCAGTGAGCAGCAGTTATTCACCTCAAAGCCCAGGCAAAACATTTATTTTGATATAATAGACAATACTCAAGCCAGATGGTGAATAGTCATTGCCCATTTTCTTCTGCCTCTGGTGGTGCTTTTCAACTTACGGGTCTCACTTTATTCTAGGGCAGATAAACAATGAAACCCCTGATGTCATCTCCAGAATTATTTTACATTCCTGTTTTCTGTGGACTCAGAAGGATGGAGTATGGATGAAAGACAAAAATTTATGAAAACATCAGGTAACACATCCATCTGCTGGAGAAACATGATGAAGGTAAGTAAACACACACTCCTTACAAAGATATGCCAAATATCTAAAGAGAATACATGGCTTATACAGTGAAGAGTTCCCGTTCCTTGGATTTTTTTCCATGTGTCACAATGTTCAGATCAATCAACTTTTGGGGGACACTTTTATTATTTCTTTTCTTTTCTAAGATTATAATATAATTAAGCTGCTGCAGTGCACACCTTTAATCCCAGCACTTGGGAAGCAGAACTGGTAGATCTCTTGAGTTTGAGGCTAGCATGGTCTACATAGTGAGTTCCAGGATATCCAGGGCTACACAGTGAAACCCCTTCTTAGTTCCCCCATTCCTAAAAAAAGATGGTAATATATATTTATCCCTTTCCTTCTCTCTTTCTAGTTTCTTCCAAATACTCTTCACTTTCACATTCAGGGCTTCTGTAAGTATGTTCGTTTTTACATAAAAATGTACATACATACATACATAATACATAATGTGTTACATGCAAACTGTGCTTATGTATGTGCATAAGTATATATACATATGCATGTTCCTCTACATCAACTGCTCAGTATGTACGATGTTCCAGGGGGTTATGTTTTCAGGGTTGACCATTTGGAATCGGAGAACCGTTGTATTCTTTCCATGGGAAGTCTATTCTCAAACTCTCAGTAGTCCTTAATTGTCTGTGACTTTTTGTTGAGGCCTGCTGGGCATTTCTCCATGGTACAAAAGACTGTGCCATGTCTATTGGTGCTGAGTTTATTCATTTCACTTTTGGCAATCATTGTATAACTGTGCCACTAATAAAAATAATTACTGAGAGAGCATTCATTTACAGAGCTGCATCAGACTATCTTTTGGAACCTCTGCTGCAAAGTAGAACCAAGTTCCAAGTAACGCCTATTAAATTGTCTCTTAGTATTAAAGATATAGGACACGATTGTTATAAGACCTCTGTGAATGTAAAAGTCTTACACCTGCTTTCCAATAGGTAGTACTATGCATTATCAGACCTGTTTTAATGATATTATTCAGAATTTTTGTTCCACATGATAATCGAGAAGCTAGTAAAAATGGTGCCAGATATTACAATAGCTTAAATAATATCACATACTCAATTTAATGTGTTGTGAAAATACAGAATAAAATATACACACAGGAATTAAGCTAATCTGAGATCCAAATACAATGATAGATAAGTTATTTTCTTTAATCATATTTCCTAGCGTAACTTGAAAGAATGGTGTTCATGATTTTGATATTCATCTGAACTCTTTGTATAGGGTATTAATGCTGAGATATGTGTGTTTACATTTATACATATGTATTTAGATTTGAACTTATTTATACATACATACACATACATACTTATAGATATTTACACACAAACATAAAACTTCAAACCTTTCTGTAAAATATTTGCTACCTACACTTTTCTTAAGTTGGCATATACCTATTCTGCAATTATTAAATATATAAATGTAAAAGGCACATTAAATAAGCAATTGTTTTAGGATCATAATAACCACTTCATCCTTCTCATTTCTTTCTTAATACCTATAAATATTTTAAGAGATCTAATTAAACACAACAATCTATTAAAGCATCATTGTAATTCTTGCATCTAACTTAGCAATGATTCTTCCAGATTATGTAATGGTGGCTTACACATATTAAATATAAAAAAATAAATGAACGGAAACATACTGAATAATCTTTCTAAGAGTCAAAATGCAAACTATTCATTTTCTTCTATTTTCAGTGTTGTCTCTGTATTGATTG